TTTATTTATTTATTTATTTATTTATTTATGTACTTTATATGTTTAAATATTTTTACATAATCACATGATGATCGTTTCAAGGGTTTCGATTATATATTTTTATCAGAATAAAAATTATGTTGAATCTATCTTGGCAGACTGACTTGTTTTCTGTTAATAAACTATGCTCGACAAACAGTGAATTTATAATTCATTTATTTATTTTTTATTTCAGGAATTGACAATGTGATAGAGCTGCTTAAAAGTAGGATATACGCTGACCGTTCCGAGATTGTAATAATTTCATTATACGTACCATCAGAAAGCGTCGTTTTTTTTTATTTTATCGGATTGAAAGAAAAAGCCACAATATATTGTGAGAAAATTGGCTATATTAATCTTCCGTAATTGTCTTAAAAAATTGAATTCGAATGTATATACGAAATTCGTGTAAAACAAAAGATAAATACATTAAGATCACTGTAAATTTTCTATTTATTTTATTACATATTAAAAGGATGTATTAAATCGACATTGCCATTTTTTTTATTTTTGTTTGTAGGCCATTTTGATGATATAATTGCATATCAATTTTTAATATATTTCGATTTGGGGTGATCAAATGGAATGATTTGCATCAATAAGTTGCGATGGATAATATAGAATGGATGATCAACTGTCGATAACTAATTCTCTAAATTCAATCATGATGATCGACACGGAATATCATATCGATAACAGGTATGTCAGTCTAACTAGTTTAGAAGTATATAAAATGAATGATAAAAAATAAAAAATGATAAGCATGATATAATTAATAATTCTATTCAATAATTTTAATTGTAATATTAATGAAGCCAACGCGATATGTTCAAGAAATTTATGAAGATTTTTTTTTTGCATTGTATAACTTTTAACGGATTAGTATACGAGATTGATATGAGATGGCAGCACAAGTATCTTCAGAATCATCCATTTTTCATATATGCATGGCAATGGCACAGCAATGAGCAGGTAATCATTCAAGAATAGACGTATTTAGAAGCAGTATAATCAATATTTATTTGGAAATATGTATTTCCAAATAGATGTATGTTTATAAAAGTAAATATGTACTTATATTTTAAATAATACCACGCGTATTTTGAATGTTTATGTTAAGTTTTGAATCATCATTTACATTATTCAGAGTAAAATGGCTTCTGATGAGTATTATATATATATATATATATATATATTGAACAATATTTGATATTGCACAATATTCCCAGACAACAAAAAATATCTGAAATCATGTCATAAGATGTTTTTTGTTAAAAGTCAACTTAAAGGCGTTTTCTTATGTCACAATTATGTTACATTATATGTTATTTGGGTTATTATTGATTATCTATATTGAACCTTCAAATTATTCTCTTTCAATTGTTTAAAAGATGGATCACTAATATTGTACAAAATAATTGTATAATAATATTGAGCGTCTAAAGGTTGTTTAAAATTTTTTTTTGATTCTAAAATAGAAAAAATATTAAATTTTCCGAATCATAATTGCATGTGAGAGTGCTTTTTACTTAAAAAGCTTTGTTCAGTTTATATCTAAGTTACTTGATTGATGCGTTGTCAGTTACTTTACAAATATCTTTTGAAATTTGAAAATCATAGATATCTCGAATCAGAATACATCCTTCAAACATCGCATTAAATGTCGCATTTTGAAGCAACCGCGGAAAAAAACGGCCTGGAACGATCCTTCGCCGCGACGTTCGCGAGAAGTTTTATAAGCCGTTTTGCGCACATGTCGCCAAATATCCACGAGATGAAAGAGCGAGCGTAAGAAGAAATGATATCGGGCGATCAGCGACGCGATATTGCCGCGTAAGATGTGCGCTCTACGATTTCGCGCTAATATTTGAGATTTCGGTCTCGTATATGACCTGCTATCCATGTCGGTGACATCTGGCACGGATCTTAAGGCGCATTATTGCCCACAAAAAGTTTTCGCAATATTGTCACGTAATAAAAGAGGGAGAGAGAAAGAGGGGGGAGAGAGAGAGAGAGAGAGAGAGAGAGAGAGAGAGAAAGAGAGAGAGAGAGAGAGATCATCTGGAGAATGTATAAGTGCTTGTAGATATGTATGCAGAGAGATCGCGTCGGATATCGAATTGGAAAATCATTGAAATCCTCAAATTCCAAAATCATTGAGATATATTGGGTATAACCGAAAGTTTTGCCGATTTACGATTTAAAAGTTAATCATTGATCTCCTCTCGAATTTCTTTTTTTTTGTGTTGTTTGCATATGTCACATCGTTATCGCGACAACTATAATAAATTATATATATGATTATAATATATATAATATTATATAATATATATAATATATAATATATGATTATAAATTTTATATATTTTTTTGGGAGTGTGGGATGGAAGAAGAAAGTGAGAAAGGATGAGAAGATATAGGTCTATTTGTATGATTAAATTAGTGTACACTTATATTTAAAATAGACATGATTTGTTTTTTACAATAACGGCACAATTCAAAAAAACAAAATTTTCCAGAAAATGAATATTTTGATTTAAAAAATTTTGTAATATGAATTTTAAAATGCAGTTTTGATGTAATAATTGATTATAGAGGAATAAAAGTATATATATTTTGGAAAACCATACTTAAAATATATATATATTTTTCCTTTTTTAGTATATATATTTTTCCTTTTTTGCTTGTGTTCTCATTTTTTCACAATTTGTTCACAAACAATTAAAATTACAATTTTTTAATTGTGTCGTTGCAGCAACTGAGCGATATAATTTGAAATTCAGCGAAAGTGAACTTGAAAAATTTAGTACAATGATGAAGAATAAATTTTATAATCTATTCTACGATCTCGTACAGACCATACAATTTTTTATTAATCATTCGTCGTCTTATACAGATTTTTTTCGTACTAAGATACAAGAAGTATCGATTATTGAATGATAATGAAACTGTTGATACCAAAGAATGACGATAAATATCGATCATCTTAGCATATTTCTATACAAGCAACAAAGAAGATAACGAAAGAGAGGAAAATAGATAGGGGAAGAAAGACGAGGAGAGGACCAGCCTGACCGATATGTCCAAATCTGATTGTTCCCTTAACGATCGGCTGACAGCGAAGATATACGTCGATGCCATCAGATAATACATGTAACGTCAGTGTGCACGCATACACGTGCAATTCCGCACCACGTTCATGCATACCGTATACATATATATATATATGCGCATATATATATATATAT